AGCACAATTAGTAGTTCAAGGAAACTATCAGATTGACAGCCTTGACTATCATACAGACAATTTATTTGCTCCTACTGCTAGACTATCTATGGTGCAATTAATATTAGTATGGACAGCATCTAATAATTATGAAATACATCAGATAGATATAAAATCAGCATATCTGTATAGACAATTGATGGAAGACAAAGAAATATATGTTAAACCTCCTCCAGGTAACTTAATAGACAGATTACAGAATGGACAAATATTACAATTACAAAAAGTGCTATACAGATTAAAACAAGCTGGTAGAAGATGGTATAAAACACTATCTAATATACTACTTAAATGCAGATTAACGAAATCCAAACATGATAATGCTGTATTCTTCACAAAGAAGAAAGAAATAACTGTAACCATATTATTTGTACATGTCAACAATATTACTATTACAGTAATGAATAATAATACTATTGTAATGATAAAACAATCTATTGTACATCATTTACAATATACAGACAGTAGCAAATTACACTAGCTACTTAGTATAGAGATTCAATGCAACAGAGAGCATAGATTCATCAGGATGTGTCAGACACATTATATTAATAGTATAATAGAACGTTACAAACTTACAAATGAACAAAGTGTACAAACACCTATACAGCCTGGTACACAATTAAAAACAGTATTGCAAACTGATAACAATAGAAAACAAATGTCTGATATACTATACATGAATATGGTTAGTGTACTTATATATATTGCAGACTGTATACAGCCAGATATAGCATTTGTAACAAATCAGTTAGCTAAATACCTCAATGACCCTAGTATGGAGTATTATCTAGCACTTAAACATTGTTACATGTACTTAAAAACTATGAACAATGTCTGGCTCCAACTCGGCAGCACAAATCAATCAATATTGAATGGCTATACAGATGCAGACAGCATGATGCAAGAAGGGCATTGTGCAATATCAGGATACACATTTTACTTGAGTGATTCATTAGTTTTGTAGTCAAGTAAAAGACAAACACTGGTGGCAAATTCAACGTATGAAGCTGAATTAATAACTCTTGCAAGAGGAACACAAGAAGCAATCATACTTACTCATTTAGCTGAAGAGATTCTACAGGTCTCTGATGCACCAATTAATATCTATTGCAATAAAAATGCTGTTATACAAACAGTTACATTGGACAAACTCAAATATTCGGAACAAACAAAGCATTTAGATCATAAGAAAGATTTTATTAAATGCTACATTGAGTTAGAGTACATAAATGCGAAATACATACAGACGAACAATCAACAAGCAGATATATTAACTAAAGCACTACATGTACCACAAGTCAAACATCTTACCAGTTTACTCAGACTAGTAAGAGTTTGAAGGGGAGTATTATGAGATGATTAGTTCATTAATGGACAAACCACAAGACAATGACTTCATAATGTCTCAGTTAGAATACATACAATATAAGGACAAGAGACACTGAGCAGTCAATTGTCACCTCACCCCTTGTCTATACATGCCCCCCTTAAGTTTTCCCTCTTAACACCTTATCAGAGTGAGGAAGTTAGTAGTGGAAATGGATACTGTCTATGTTAAGAGTATGATAAATAACTCAGACCTACAGTCAAATGCTACAATTAACAGATGGATTGCCAGAATCCTACTGTTCAACTTTGAGTTCTAACACATTCTAGTCTTACAGTTTACTTGCACTGACAGACTGTCTTGATGTCTGTACACTAAAGCTAACTCAGAAGAAGAAGATGACTTTAAGGAATGGATCAACCAAGCTTACACTTTCTGTTACAGTTCTGTGTTTACTGTTCTGAACAAAACCTAACCTTCTAAAACATTTCTAACAACTGATTGTACACATACTAGAGAATATTGTTTTAGACAAGTTAAGACCTTTCTAGAAACATGCCTCTGACTGCCTAGGATGGAAAATCACAAATTCACCACCTTTGTTTACTATGTAACCACTTTCTTTATTAAGACTGGCTGACTGTGGTAGAAAACCCAGAACAGTAACTACTAACTTGTAATAGAACCTGACCAACAATAGAATCTTGTCAAGACTGTATAACAATCTCAGACATAAAGGAGTCTACTCTGTCTAGGCTAGACTTCTTGACCACTTCTGGTGGCCTAGCCTCAGACCTAATGTCAAGTACTACATTCACACCTGTTACAAATGCCAACTCTGTCAGACAACTCAAATCCTGATCCCTTCCAGCATTCTAAAGATTGCCCTGTTATTTACTAAGGTATATATTGACACTAAGTTCATACTGAAAGCAGGAGGGTTCTAATACATTGTTCACACTCAATACACACTCTCTAGCTACCCTGAGTTCTACTTACTCTGTTCTGAAATCAGACAAAGTATCAGACAATTCATTTTTGAAGATATTCTCTGTTGATTTAGTGTGTGCCCAGAACTTGTTACTAACAACAGAACCCTGTTTGTTACTACACTAGATTAGCTTTACAACCAATACCACATTAATCACATCTGTATTAGTACATACAACTCTTAAGCTAATAGTATTATTAAATGCTACCACTTTAACATACAGGAAGCTCTTATAAAGGCTGCTGAAGGGAATAAACTATAATAGTATAAATACACACATTCTGTCTTTTGGTTGGATTGGATCATGATCTGTTGTGCAACTAGCATGTCCCCTTATTTTATTGTCTATAGTGTTAAACCACTTCTCCTATTTAATATTACAGAAGCAACATATCTTGCCTTAGTACTAGACAAACTCATAACAGTGATAGAACTCATTACAACTTGAGCATGTCAACTACAGAAACGTCTGGCTGACCTTTAAGCTATTGTGGAATGTGTCTATACAGACTGGATTGCTTTACTCTAACAATTTGAAGAAACACACAAACACTCAATCAAAGATTTTAACTTTAAACCTGGTTAACTTGTCCTTATACACAACTCTAAATCATGAATGGATCTCAGACAAAAAACCAAGCCATACTATCTTAGACTATACATAGTAGTCTGTTGTACACAAGGAGGATCCTATATTATAGCTGAACTCAATGGATCAGTCTCCTGTCTTTACATTATAGTGTTCTGCTTGGTTCTGTACTTTGCCTGTACTATACTCTTGATTCTGGTTACACATCTTGTTGAAAACTTTGGTCCAGCTAATAAAATCAATAATACTGACAATCTGCTACTGTTAGACAAGCCTTCCAAGGACTCTGACTCTGACTATAAGCTAATTGTGGCCAACTACTATAAACCTATGTGTTCCATACTTTCTTGAATTTGCCTTTTTCTATTAACCCCTTATAATATTCTAGATAATGTTCTAATTCTGTTTTACTCTATCTTCTGTTTTTCTTTAATTTTGCTTTTAACTAATTGTAGATTATAGTTAGACTTATACTTTGAACCTACATGGTTTTCCCTATAGTATGTTTTTTCCTACTAAGTTTTTCATACACAGGTTTTTGTCTAGCAGCCCTTAGACTACTTTTGCATTTCTTTAGTCACAACAGTCTTAAAGTTATGTATTGAGAGCTTTGTTCTGTTCTGTTCTGTTTTGTTCCATTCTTGTTCTGTTCTCACACTGTTCTTGTTCTATTTTAGTTCTGTTTTTGTTCTGTTTCTTTTTCAGTTTTGTTCTGTTCTTGTTCTGTTCTTGTTCCATTCTTGTTCTGTTAGTTTGCCTTACTTTCAGTATACATATAGTCTTGCCTCTGTTGTTTACCTATCAATGCTGAGTCACTCTTATTACCTTACAATTATTACACTCATACTTTAGTAACATTACACATTATTATGAATATACAGAAAATACTATTCAAAACTATAGAGGGGGGATTATAATTGGCTACTTCTACAGGCAGCTTTTATGTTGACTATCTCACCTACACTGGTTCAGTTGTTCCAAACAGAATGTCTAATTCTGTCTATCCTTCTGTCCATCCTTCTAACACCTTGTCTTTACACTCATCCTAGCTTGTAACTACTCTACATCCTGTATTATTGTATCCAACATTATACAATAGGTAACTACCTGCCTTCTAAGGACACAAAGCTTGTGTTTGAGCTCCAGATCCTCTCAGAACTTACTGTTGTCTAACAAGTGTTCTGAAAGTTCACCTAGAAGAATGTTGTTTTTAAAAGCTATCAGTATTAATCTTAGAACAACTTACTCAGATCCTCCAGACACACTCTCAACAGTCTAACTACAGAGTACAGGTTTGTCACTATTGTTCTCCCCTACCTTAACCTTACATCCCTTACTACCTTACTAGTCTTTACAAGAGAGTAACAGATCTTACTCTTCTTACATACTAAGTATGTAATTGTCTTACTATACTCTTGAATGTATACTATGTACTAACAGACACAGTTACTACACTTCTAACTCATTAAAGGTGTTAGGCTACTGTCTGACACTAACTCTAGCACTAGAGAACTGTTCTAGAACTGTAACTCAACCTGCTCATTTTCAACCTCCTCTAATACCTAGTCTGTCTTGTAGAAGTCTGATTCATACAACACAGAATGCCTCCTGTTAATAGCTAATCTACTGTTCTTACACACTGTAGTAACTCTTACATCCTTTATACAAGGGCCTACACTCAGTTGTAAACCTGATTTACTTCTTACAACAATGACATAGTTGAAGAAGAAGGACAAACTCAAAAAGAAGTAGAAGATTGAAACATAAAGTGTGCTAGTTTGCAAATTTACACTCTCAGGTGTGACTAGGGACAGTCACATTCTAAAACACTTAGGAGATGTCATACTCACACAACACATATGTTCTAATACATTCTGATTAGAAGGGCTCAGTCATATCAAAGTTGTATCATCCTCACATTAGCAATTCTTCAATTATATCATTATTACCTACACAATAGTCTTGGTTGCTCAATTCAGACTAGTTGGGTTCCAGACTCTAATTCTGATTTACAAAAGCAAGACTCTAAGCCTTCAGATAGTTAGTTGATAATACAAAGGGGACTCAGATCTAGAGTCCTAGATAGGTTAATACAAAGGAGACAGTGGTGGATTTGTTCACAAAGGACTAGTAGCTACAAAGGACTCATAATTTCTATAAATACTCTCATGTAATTCATACTTGACAGTAATCAAGTTACTCTCTACTGTAACTCTTAGTGTGTAGTTTGACAGTCTCCTTAGTAAATGTTCCTTCTTACCTTGTCTCATCTTGTATTACCTTGTTCTAAAGTACAGCTTTGTTGTTCTACACTACTCTTGTCTTGTTAATTGTTACCTTCAGAACTTGTACATTCTACTCAGATCTACCTATTCCTTCTTACTCTTGACCCCTCTCAGTGTCTATACCTTACAGACTCAACTGACCTCTTCTACCTCAACCAGTACTTGAGATCAATACTAGCACACTCAATTACTGACTAGGATAACCTAGTAATTGAGTACTAAGAAGGAGAAAGAATCCCCTAACCCTTAGCTCAAAAACCCTTTATATATGTATATACATGTGTAGTAAGATACAGGGTAGTCTAGTAAACAAAAAGAAAACACTTACATACATTTACAACACATGTAGTACAAATACACAGGTAGTACAATCATTATACTTTTCTTATTTAGAATGTATACACTAGTATTACTTTGCTTCCTAGTATTATTTGTCTATCTACATTATAGTATCCTTTAATATTTTGATTATTATTTCTACTAAGTTTTAACTAATAATTACTAGTTCCTTTTAGATATTAGAAGTAATATTTTACTACCTAATAATTAAATATTTTGCTAGCTGACTAGTTGTATATATAATGTCTAGTCTTGTACAATCTACTGTATATTATAATAAACTGACTATATTCATGTATAGTATTGTTTTTATAAAATTTTTGTCTTTATCTAATAAATGCTTTGTTATTTATAAGTATATACCTAGTTATATTAGTGTTTTTAGTATTGGTTCATTTTCAAATTCAAATTACCAAATAATATTTTAATATAATGTTTTTGTTACAGTATTATTGTTTTATCTTGTCTTAATCAAGTAATTTCTATACCTAGTAGCTAATGTATTTTGCTACTGTCTGAAAAGATAATGTATTTCTTTAGACTGTTTTTAAATGCCTTTATTACTATATTATTTATTCTAATGATTGTTATGTTATTAACATGTATAAAGTAATTAATACT